CATTTCCATGGTTTTCATACTGTTACACGTGATCTGAAATGAGGTATACTGGGTACAAGATAGAAAAGGTAATTTTGAAAGGTCATCAGAAGTGGATTAGCTTGTTCCAGGGTCCTTAATAGTTCTGACCTCAGTTGCATGTTGAAGGGAAAAATATTTTGGTCTGCTTTACCTGATCACTATTTTAAGTAATAAACAGGCAAGGAAAACGTTACTGTAGCTCTTCCTTACAAATCCACAATCACCAGGTCTATGGAGTCAGTGACCTTTAACTTTAATCAAGGGAGTGTTAGTTTGGGTGTTAAATGTTAATTTCCTCAATTACCAAAACAACAGAGCTAGATAATGTCCCTTAATGGCCAACACCTAAACAAAAAACACCACCCTCTGAATTTGTTTCGCAGCCATCAGCAGAAGGATTTGACCCACTGTTTGCCTACAATCCTGCACCTCAGAATAACTAAAAGGCAATATTCTATGGGTTTTGAGGTTTCCACTGAATGGTGGCAGGATCCCTGGGGACTGAAGGCCATATCTGGAGCTAATGTGGAGGCCCCAGCCCAGGTGAACTTTACAGGCTGCCCAGGCAGGGGCTGTGCTGCTCCTGAGAGGTTTGGAGAAGCCACACAGCTCCCAGACCCTCTCCAGGATGAGCCTGTGTATGTCTTGGAAGGTGAGTCTCTTATGAAGAGCTTTGATTTTTATTTTATTTTTTTAAATGAATCTTTTCTTACAGTGACAGTTTCCCCTGTTTCTCTGGAGAACCATCTCAGAGCTCTGGGGAAGTCTGGACCTCTGAGAGCTATGACATCTCTAATACTGTATAAGTTTTATTTAATGGTGAGGTTAGTCCCTATAATTCCCCTTTATCAGGTTTCCTGGATATCTGTGCCTTTAGGATAATGATCAACACTAGCCAGAACTCTCGTGCTGCGCGGTCTCTGCTTGCAGCAATTGGATGCACTGGGGGAGCTGAGTAATTCCTCAGGAGAGCTCAGGCTCTCTCGCCTTGTGCTGGACCTGCCCGCTCCTCCCTTGGCTGCAGTGCTGGTCCTGGAGCAGGAGGGATGTGTGGATGCAGGAGTGCTTGAAAAGAGAAGTTTCTGTCTCGTTAGAGTAACTACAGTTGGAAGACACTCAGGACACTCGAAGTGCAAGTCTACACCTTGTCTTAAAGAAGGATTCAGCTCTTTAAGTTCAACTCGACATAAAATGGTGCATTTGAAGTTTTACTATCCCTGATTGCAGGGCCTGGCTCAGAAACCTGTGATCCCAGTGACTGAAGTGGACTTGACACTTCATTAGTGGTGTGGGCAAGCTGTGATACCAAACCATGAGTTCTGCTCCCTCAGCTTGCAGAGGGGAGGGGCTTTGTTGTGTTTTTAGGAGTTAACACACTTCACATGGACACAAATTCCCTGGATCTTCTTCTGCTCAGACTGGTGAGTTACCATGGTGCTGTTGGCAGTGTGGCATTTTCAAGCTGGAATATACATTTTTTGATAGAGTCACTTGGTGCTGCATTATAATAAACAAAAGTTAATAGAGGGACTAAAGTGTCATTTCTGCTTCCAGGCTGGGCAAGCAAAGTTGTTCTGCCACATTCTCATCTCTGTGACAGGGTTGCCATTTCCTCTTCCTGCCATTGAACTGTTGCATTAACCTCAATCCCTCAGTCATTAGTAAATATTATTAAGTCATATGTGACATTTTGCACCAAGCAAAAGCTGCAGGTCCTGCCTGTTGGAAGTTTTTAATTAAATAAAGCTGCCTGCTGTGTGCAGATGGGTGGGGGAGAAGGCAGAACTCAAAGGGGAGATGAAAGCCACTGCCTCTGCCTGCCAGGCCAGGGTGTGGGCAGGACTTCTGCTCCTCTTGAACCTTTCCTTCAGAGAAGCCCTTGCATTTTTCAGATGGCCTGTCATCTGAAATTACAGCACATGACTTGTGCTCCTACTCTGTGTCTTTCTGGAAAATACTGCATGTAGCACCTGAATAAACCCCATGTGAAAGCTGGTAGAGCAAACATTGGTCAGTGGCAGATGTAAACCTGTGCTTCATTCGGAGCTCCAAATGCACCAGGTAAAAAACATTGTCAGGTCAAGATCAGACTTGAAACTGTACTGGAAATACTCTCTTCTGAGATCTCAGAGTTCCTGAACTTGGAGCTGGGAGTGAGAGAATGGGTCTCATCTCTAACAGCCTTCAACAACCTTCCTGTCCAACTGATCCATCATTTATAACCCTGTGGAGGTCTGGAACAAGGTGTGTGCCCAGTCAGCGCAGCAGTGGGGAGGCTCAGTGTTAAATGTCAGGGTGGAGAAGGTGGAGCAGCAGCTGCTGCCTTTCCCTGCAGCTCTCCTTTGCTCTGCTGGGCAGGGCTGGAGCTCTGTGCCTGCAGCACAGGGTGGGAAGCAAAATGCCAGCGGGTCAGTGGCTGTGCTGCACGCTGGGCTCTGCTGCCCTTGGGCACTTCACAGCCTGACCACGCTGAGCCTGTAATTAATGCTTGCTGCTTTCCCAGGGATGCACTTTGCCTGCATTTACTGTGCTTTTTAGTTGCATTCTCTCTCTTCTCTGCTGTTTATTCCTACGGCACTCAGCACCTGCATTATGGATAAAGCTTTCAGTGGCTGCTGGTGGTCCTGCTCTCTCCACCTTTAATGAAATGCAGTAAGTGTGCTGGATGCCCAGCAGCTGCAGCTGAAGAGGCAAGCAAACCCTGCTGTCTCCACCTGTCCATCACTAGTTGGGTTCTTGGGTTCTTCTCCTGGCCCTGGTGGATGGCTGCTTGCTGGGGTTGGTGCCATGACGAGCAGCACAGGGTGCTGGGAGAGGCTGGCAGAGCCCTGACACCTTGGCTGCAGTTGTGTTCATTTGCACAGGACAGGCAGTGTCCCACCTCCCTTGGCAGGAAGCAGGGGATGAATTTGGGACACATAGCTCAACGTGAGGTCTGTTCCTCTGCCTCCACCCTTGGCTGTGGTGGACATGGGCTGGCACCAGAACATGCCTTCAGAGTTCCTTGGTTTCCTCACCTGGCTCAGATAAGTAGAAACAATCTTCCCACTTTTTCCTCAAAGAGATACTTCAGCCTCACAGGAACTAGAGAATAGCCCCAAGTAACACAGCCCAGTAAAAATGGTTGGCTTCTTCCTAATATCTGAATGGCAGAATTTTTTTTCTATTTGAATCTGTTTAGTAGGAAAAATGAGTATTTAAATGTCACAGAGCTGGTTTCAATATTAGCAAGAACTGGTTTTGACAAAAGCAGAGAAAGAACCCCAAACTTCAAATCAAAATTCAAGTAATGAATCTTCATGGCAAATAGAAAGGAAAATTCAAAGAACCTTATTTCTAAATTTATTCAGTCAATAGTTTTAATTAGCAAGCATGTACAGT